TTTGAAGTTTTGTGAAGTAAATGGACTTGCGCAAATTTCACTCGTTGAATCAACTCGTCGGATGGACTTGGGCTATTTTCATTTTTTGATTGTGCAGTACTAGATTTATTTATATAGGTACTTGTACGACGAGAATTTATAAAAAACGATGGAGACAAAGAAAATAACACAAAATATTATTTGTTATAATTATGTATTTATTTTAAATAATCGTTGTAATAACAAATAAAAGCTATTTTTTGTGCAAATGTATTTAAAGTATAATAATTGTTTTGAACAAACATAGAAATAAACATAATCTATTTATTCATGTTCGAGGGAATCATAAAGCGTATGGTAATCTTGTTCCATGGTGCTTTCTAAAGATTGAAGGTGCTCAAATTTTTCACGTTTTATTTTTAACGTGTTACAATATAGCCCTGGAAGATTTGCTATTGTTGTGGATTTTAAGTTTGTGTCGCAATTTAAATTCGATCGATCCATCGGGTTTATATTTTAGGGCCCTTATGTCTTGAACAGTGGGGTCGCCTACTTTATGCCCAGGACGAATTGATTTAAAAAAATTAAGCTTAGAAAAATTTTTAAAATAACCATGTGACAAGTATTCAACCACATACGGTCTTGGTGTTTTTCTAGCAGCTTTGGCGTAATGGACATAGTCAGCTGGTACATTTATAATTCTACCAGAAATTTTCCTTTCAATAGAGGAATGCATTGAATCGCAGTCTATTTGGGTATGGCCTTTTTCTAAGTACTTCTGAATAATGCAGACATTATACTGAAGTGCAAAATTTAAAAGTGCATTCGCCAAAATGGAGTTGCGATTTTGTGCCGCGCAGCCGTCACTGTAAAGTATTATAGTAGGTTTATTATCTGAATCAATGGTTGGTAATACTTTTTTACTTGAAAAAGTTATGAACAATTCACTTGGTTTTGTAATACAATGCCGAAACATAAGACTTGGGGCAGAGGACTACCGATTGTAAGTCCACTGTGAAAACTTTATTAGATGATCTTTTATCATTTTCTTTTTCATGTCGAGCTCCTTTCTTCTTCGAAACATGCTCTTTGTAGACTTCTTCGGTAAGGTTTTTTGTTTTGTAGGCTGCGCAGACATCACACTCGTCCTACTTTGGTGGAAAAAGTGATAAGTTCATTTCGTCAAAAATATATTTAAACGTGGTCATACTGGTTGGATCAATGTTTCTTTCCTTGCACCAGGAATCTTTGTAAAGAGCGTAAAGCTCAGATTTGTTTCTCCATCGGGGTTCCAAATATAATTTAGTGGTTGATTTGCGGCAATAGTGTGACTCTAATTTAGGCAGAAAGTCGAAAAATTCTGTTACTGGTGCTTTTCTTTCCATTCTTTTTTTACGTTTAAATTCTGTAGGTTCTTTAGGATATACAGGTTCTTAAATGTGTTTTTTTCTGGGTACAAGAGCCCTTTGCGAATCCAGAGTGTACTAGTTTTCCTAATGTGTTACAGAATATAGTTTTACACACCCTAACGCTATCTTCATTTTTCATATCAATAAAAAAATTGCAAGATGCAGTTCCTCGACTTATTTCATCATTTCTCCTGTTTCTCGCTCTTTTAGTTTTAGTTGTAGTCGTTCTCCCTAAAACGTAGACCTGCTTTTCTTTCCAAGAGAAACTCCAGAATTTTTAAAAAATGTTTTGTCTTTCCTCTTCATTAATTTTATAACACTGAAAAGATTTTCTTTCAATTGAGCATTAACATCGATTTTTTATTCCCTTTCCACTTTTTTCACCACAAATTTGTTGTATTTCCTTCCGAAATAGATCTCTCCTTTTTCCCTTTTTATTTTATTCGTATTATATTCCCAGTCGCTTTTGTCGCTCAGTCTGTTATTTTTTCTTTTTTGTTTTTTATTTGTTGGATTATAACTCTCTTCCTCCTCTGAATCTAATTCTGAAATATTTTGGCCGTCTTCTGAGCTACAGTATATTCAGATAAAAGATAGACCGGATGTAAACAAAAGGTTCGGGTGATTTTCACGCTAACGCCGCCGTCTCGACGTAAAACAGGAGCCCTCATTGGTCAATTCGCAATTAAATGCCTATGCCGAGCGGCAGAGCAGTCGTATCAAGGCAGAGTCACATTCAGGTTCAGACGTGTTACGTATTTCGTGTGCATCATTGCAATTTGATATTTCTTTGGACTTTTTCGTTTGTTATCTTATTAAGTTGTTGAGTTTGTCGTTGTTATTGTTATACCTTGTTATTGATTGTTATTGTTATCAACTGCTTGCCCAAAATGCCCAGTAGTACAGATACTGCCGATGAAGTTGTAAACTCCTGTAGTCCACCTAGGAAACGCTCTAAAAAAAGACACCTGAGTGCAGAAATGAAAGAGGTCATTTTGAATATATATAAGATCGAGCGCGAGGAGAACGAGGCATCAACCATCAAAGAAATTGTTGTGAAGGTTTCTGACAAAGTTGGGGTGTGTCGCGCATCAGTGTTTAATGTGTTAAGACAATACAAAAAAAATCACACCTTTTCTGAGCCAATGACCAGCAAACATCGCAAAAGTATTGTTAAATCATTGGATGAAGCTGATAAGCATGCGATTAGGAGGAAAGTGCATTAATTCTTCTTTAGGAATGAAATACCTACTATAGATAAAGTACTGCAGGAGGTAAATGGAGATACAACGTTGCCAAATTTCAAACGATCAACTTTCCATGCGTTACTGAAGCATTTAAATTTCAAATGGAAAAAACAGGGTCGTAATAGTTTACTACTGGATAGAGAAGAAATTGTGCTATGGAGGAGGGATTATTTAACAAAAATTGGGAAATACAGAAATCAAAACAGGAAGATTTATTACCTTGATGAAACGTGGGTAAACGCAGGACACACTACAAGTAAAGTATGGGTTGATGATTCTGTAACTTCATCCAGGAGGGCCTTTCTAGATGGACTGTCCACCGGATTAAAAAATCCAGCAGGTAAATACGAGTAATAGACAACAATCGGATGTTTTTCAAACCTTGAGAACAAGGTTTTATACATTAATTCCAGGGGGCAGATAAAACATATTACAAGTAACAAAACTTTTATAACTTTCGATAAAATGCGTGGATGTTTTATTGTCATTTTCATTTGTTAGAACTTTTTTAAGCCATGTTTTTATGTGTTTTCGATATTTCAATAATTTTTTAATATAATCTTAAAATATGTCGAATATTATAAACTTAAAAAAAGTTACTAAGTTTTATATTGTGTACCGTTCCTAATATTTCTAATCATTTTAATTCATACTTTAAGCTTTATAAAGTTATAATTTGTTATTATTAATATTTGCGCGTATTTCAGGTTCCTGATCATTCATTTTTTAAAGGTTTATAACTTTAAATTAAATTGTGAAGCGCTGAGTAATCATACGACGTTCAATATTCTTTCTTTCAATATGACTAAATAATCCCAATTATAGCAATCTGATACACATGTCTCAATGTTTTTTCGCTGAATGTGATGAAAACATTTGAAAAAGGTTCGCTTATTGAAATAAATCTACACCAGTTAGTACTTCGATTTCCAGGTAAAGGGAAAAGGCTCATTATCTGCCATATTGGCAGTGAGGATGGATTTGTTGTTGACGGTCTGTGGTGCTTTGAGTCTAAGAAAACTGGAGATTACCACGAGGAAATGAATGGCGAATCGTTTGAACAGTGGTTTTCAAAAATTTTACCGAACTTAGAGGAAAACGCAGTAATTGTGTTGGATAATGCGCCTTATCATTCTCGAAGAATGGAGAAGGTCCCAACAACGGCTTCAAGGAAAGTTGATGTTCAAAATTGGCTCCGCTCGAAAAATATCAACTTTGAAGAAGCAATGCTGAAAGTACAATTATTAAGAATTGTCAAGGATCACAATGCGGAATATCAAAAATACGTCAAAATAAAACTGTGCTCCGTTTACCTCCATACCATTGCGAGCTCAATCCCATTGAGCTCATATGGGCAGAGGTTAAAAATTATATAGCTAAGCACAATACAACTTTTAAATTTTGTGACCTCAAAGGACTTTTCAAAGAAGCACTAGAATTAATAACAGCGCAAAAATGGGAAAACTGTATTAAGCACGTGAAAGACAAAGTTGAAAAGAGAATGTGGGAACTGGACAATATTTTAGAGGAACAAGTCGAGCCATTCATTATTGACGTTGGTGCTTCAGGCAGTAGCGATGATGAAAGCTCATCAAGCTCATCTTTCCAATAAAAGATGTCGTTCATCAAATTCTGTAAGTTATAAGTAATTATAAAGCTACTGTATTTTTTAATTAATTATTGACATTTTTGAACCCATTTTGGCAAAACCTATTCAAGAATCTACTTTCTGACAATGTTCAACCATGCACATTTTTTTACGTTTTGAACGTTTTAATTTGGTTACATATTTACCTAGAAATCAAAAAAGATACTAATCAATATTCTAAAAGCAATTTTAAGAGATATACGATTATTTTTAATTTAGGCTAATTTAAACGCCATTTTGAGATTATATTCGACTGTATTTCACCAAACATCAGGCGGCATCCGAAGCTGGAAATCGAAGCGAAAATTTTGAAACCCTTATGTATATTTACATCATTATATATTTCTTACCCCACCCCCACATGAGCCTATATCCATCACCAATCGTATACACATCGAATTGTGCTAATTTACTACAAAGTTACGCCAAACAGCATCTACTATCTAAAATATGTACTGCGTGACTCTTAATACGTCCCTGCCGAATGTTACAGCGTTCGATGATCACGTGGTCTTGTTTATGTCCGGTCTATCTCTTATCTGAATATACTGTACATCTGTTTTCCATCTTCAGTAATTTTTGTTTTATTTTTACCATTTTGTTTCAAATCATTATTTGAGGTAACATTCTGATCGACAATACTTTCATCTCTTTCTTGTGCTTCAATAATTGTTGCATTATTTAGGCAATCTAGGTCTATTAGGGCACTTAAATCACCGGTGTTATCTATTATTTCTGTAACAAAATCTGCATTACCTAGGTCAGGGCCGACATTTTCTTTAAGGGCTTCCTGAGCTTTAAAATACTCCTGTTGTAGATTGTTTATTACAAGAGTTATTCCGTCATTATCTGATGGACTAGATTTATTTTGAGACAGATCTAATGTTCTCGGATTACTGCCTTCTATAAGAACTTTGCTCAATATTTTGAAGCTTCATGAACTCTTATTCATTCTGAAAAGAAAAAGATTCTAGAAGCTACACCACTTTAGTTGAAATAATATATCAAAATTTACTTTATACATAAAATAATAATAGAAGAATTCACATAGATCTTAACGAATGTATAATTCAAATTAAAAATGATAAAAGTCAGAAAACTTAAAGAACCACTAGGTAAATACACAAACTAGTATACATATTATTATATGTTTCTGGACTTACCTGATGTATTTTGCTGCGCTTTTTAATAATTATTTAGTGTAAATTATATTAACTGGAGAAAACTACAGAGAAACCAGACACTGAAAAATGATGGTTAATAATAAGCATTGACAGCACGGACTTACGCAACATTCATACTGTTGAAGAGACAGCTGGAATTGCGCAGGTTTCATTTGCGAGTATTGTGGCACCATCAAGCAACGTAAGCTCAAACTGTGAACGGCAAATCGTAGATTTCAATTTGCATAATTAGATGACACTATAATCTCAATTTTTGAAAAAAGTAATAGGACTCATTTTCTTCCGCCACGACTGTACTTCGGCGCGTGCGCGCATCGACTGGATTCGGTAGAGGGCTTTCCTAGCTACCGAATGAGCGGCTGGTCAGTTGTCTCCGAGCACTTGGAGAGTCAGGACAGGCATTTTCGTGCCACGTGTTTCCATGAGTGGTGCAAGCCGAAAATGCAGCGTTAGTTAGAGCAGAGGTACGCGATTAAATTCTGTGTGAAACTCAGTAAATCTGCGACAGAGACGTTTGATATGATCAAGAAGGCTTATCCAGGTGTTGCTTTAGCAAGAAGTGATGTGTTTCGGTGGTACCAGGCCCTTTTGGAAGGCCGGGAAGAGGTCGCTAATGAAGACCGCGCTGGAAGACCTTCGACTTCGACAAACACCGATAATGTGACTCGTGTTCGCAAAGTTTTGAACTCAGACCGTCGACTAAGTATTCGTTTAATTGCCCAGATGTTAAATTTACCAAAATCTGTGGTTCATCACATTGTGACACAGCATTTGAACATGCGCAAGGTGTGCTCGAAGATGGTCCCAAAAGTGCTCACTGACGACCAGAAATTGCGGCGAGTGGAAGTGTGCCAAGAAAAATTGAACATGTGTGAAAGTGACCCCCAATTTTTGAATAACGTAATCACAGGTGACGAGCCGTGGATCTTTGAGTATGATCCCGAGACAAAGAGGCAATGTTCCGAGTGGCACACGACGGCGTCTCCTCGCCCATAAGAGGGAAGAATGAGCAAATCCAAAGTGAAAACGATGCTCATTGTCTTTTTTGACATCAAAGGCATCGTCCACCATGAATTTGTTCCTCCTGGACAAACTGTCAACGCCAAGTTTTACGTGAAAGTGCTCAGGAGACTCAAACGAAGGGTCAGTCGGGTCCGACAAGACATCGCAGCCGACTGGAAGCTGCACCACGACAACGCCCCGACTCACACCGCCTTTCTTGTGAACAGCTACCTAGGCCGGCATCCAAACGCTTCCGCAGCCGCCCTACAGCCCAGATGTGGCCCCCCCGGACTTCTTTTTGTTTCCTCGTCTGAAAAGGCAAGCATTTTGAGACGACAGAGGGGATCCAAGCAGCATGCACCTGGGCTCTCAAGGCTATTCCGGAGAATGCCTTCCGTGACGCCTTCAATGCTTGGAAATCGCGGTGGCAGTGCTGCGTCGACGCAGAAGGACCCTATTTTGAAAGTTTTTAAAGAATTGTAACGATTGGCTCAATATTTTTTTTTAAATCGACTCAGTCCTATTACTTTCCGGACAAACCCTGTACGAGCTCCTAGTTTCCACATTAAATTAATAAACACTTGGTTTAATCACAAAATCCTATTTCTTCATTTTATTGATTAGCGACACGTAGTACGGTTTCCGGCAACAGCGATCCACAGAAGATCTCCTAGCTTACGTCACGCAATTGTGGAGAAAACTCATCCAGTCTTATGGTGAGGCTCATGTCGTTGCTCTTGGTATCACGAAAGTGCTCGATCCGCTGTGGCACGCTGCTCTCTTATACAAACTTCCATCCTATGGCCTCCCAGTGCAGATGGGTGGCCAACTTTCTTTCTAGCCGCAAGATATCCGTCGTAATTGACGGGTTCTCTCCTTCTTCCGCAACGTCAACGCGGATGTACCCCAGGGATCGGCCTTGGCTCCAACACCGTTCCTATTAACGACCTCCTTTTCTGTACGATCAACTAAAGCCTCAGCTTTGCTGATGAGACCACTCAACATGCAGGAATTCAAAGCGACAAGCCGATCTCTGACGAGAGACTTGGAAGTAATCACTGCTTGGAGACGCAACAATCTTGTACAGTTCAATCCTTTCAAAACACAGCACTGTACCTTGACGAACGAAAAGCGTCTTAGCGCTCATGCGGTTTCGATGGATGGGCCAGTTCTGCTAAACAGCCGTGCTTTTCGGCGTCAGTTCCTATGCTGAAAGCACACGTAATGATGTGACATAAAGAGCGAACGGCAAACGGCATCCCTTTTTATTGCTTGATCAGAATATAACATTATATCGGGATGCGCGGGGCGTGAGGCTTATATTTCTTCTTTCTCTATTTCCCTTTGGCTTTACGACACTGACTATACCCAATGCTCTCCCGCCCGTTGTGTATGTTTCGATTTCCGAGGGATTTTCTACGGGCCTTGGTCGTATATTACAAATCAGCCTTAGCAGAGGCACGAGGAAAATACCCATTGGAAAATTCTATACAGGACGTATGATTTTTTATGGTATACAGGTTGAGAAGTTTTTAAATATATACAGGCATATTAACAAAAACATTAATTACATGGATACCTTTATTATAAATAGATTATATACTAAGTGACATATAAATCCGAACACCCAGTTTAAATGGTTTTATTTTAATAAAAGTTGGTGAATGTATTAATCTTACTGTAAATAACAAGTGAAAAAATGTTCAGCCTTATCGGTTGGACATTCCGGTATTTATACTGCTTTTTTTTAATTCACTAACGCTCTAAAAATGAATATTTCAGCCGCAGTAAAGAATCAACGTTGGCGGATTTTGATTCTTGACATCCTTTACGATCGGATACGATGCCTAGAGTATGGAGACCTGTACGATTTCGTCAACATAGTGAGTTTGATAGGGGCCGTATAGTGGGACTTCGGGAAGCTGGACTTTCTTTTCGGGCAATTGCAGTTACAGTGCAAAGAAGTGTAGACACTGTGGTTGGGTGTTGTCAGGTATGGCTTCAAGAAGGCCGTACGCAAAGAGCAAGGGGCACTGGACGCCGCCGTAGAACAACAGACCGTGAAGATCGCAAATGAATGGTTTGCAGAACACGGAAGACCTATTGGCATGCGAAGTGTTTACCGATGAATGAGAAGTTTTGGCTTGTTTTCATACCGGCCACACTGGGTCCTCCCTTTAACTCGAGAACACCGACGTAATCGCCTTGAGTGGTGCAGACAACGGTCACTCTGGGATCAGGAATGGAACAGTATTGTCTTTAGTGACGAGACTCGATTTTGTTATTGGTCGTGCCAGGGTTAGAAGGCGACGTGGTGAAAGGAGGAATCCACAGTTTTTTGTTGAAAGACATGTTCATCACACTGTTGGAGTTATGGTTTGGGGTGCTATAGCCTATGGTCCCAGGTCACCTTTAATCTTCATCAGAGGTAACATGAACGCGCAGCGTTATATCCACGAAGTTCTAGATCCCCATTTTTTACCTTATCTTGACACCCTGGCAGATCCAACTTTCCAACAAGATAATATCCGACCACATGTTGCAAGAGTCACAATAGACTTCTTTCAACATAATGATGTCACATTGTTACCATGGCCACCAAGATCTCCCGAAGATCCCCAATTGAGCACGTGTGGGATATGATGGGTAGGAGATTGCTCAATTTGCAACGTCCTCCTCAGACTCTAGAAGCACTTCGACAGGAGTTGGTGGTTGCCTGGAATAAGATACCACAGGAGGACATTGACCACCTGATCAGAAGCATGCCTAGCCGCGTTGGAGAATGCGTAGCACATCAGGGTGCATCCACACATTATTAAAGGTCAAAGGGCTTGAAAGCAGTGCAATCATTTTGAAATTTTTATCATTTACTTATTATGCTTCATTAAGTACTTATATAAAATTTTATTAAACTAAAACCATTTAAACTGGGTGTTCGGATTTATATGTCTCTTAGTATACTTGCTGACAGTTTGAACAGCATTCTGAGAGTAGCAAAAAATTGCTTGGATAATTTATATGTTACTCAACTGAGTGAAATATTTTTTTTGTTTTTTTTTTCTTGTTTGCTTTTTTCTCTTTCTTTAGATGAAGTCACCTGCTTTTCCTTGTTTTCTGTTCTTGTTATTTTGCTTTATCTTAGGATTGTCCTGTAAATGATTTCCTTAACTGTTGGGCAATAAATGCTATTTATTTATTATTATTAGTAGATGTCTTATGGGGATTCGGTCTCAAAACTTCCAAAATCCGCCACCAGAGGCGCTGGCGTCGCGCGCCATTGACAGGTTGTTGGACGGAATCTGTAATCATGAGTTGGGGATTCCGCCGCTAGATGGCGCTGTCAAACCAAACGGAATCTGTGTGTCATTGGACACCTGTCATGCGTCATTGGGCATCTCACGCATAGATGGCGTTACACGTCATCTGTCATACGTCATTGGACACCTGTCATTGATGGGTTGGGCATCTCGCGCATAGATGGCGCCGATTTGTTTGGCGCTGTACAAACCAAACGGAATCTATGTGTCATTGGACAGCTGCCATTGATGGGTTGGGCATCTCGCGCATAGATGGCGCCGATGTCGCACCTGTCTGGTGTTGGCGTGGATTACGGGGGGCATTCAGAACGTGTATACAGGGGTGCATCGAAAAATAGCGGATCGATGGACCGACGGTATATCGTTAAATCGTATATAGCAAGGCGTGACCTAAATAGCGTGGTGGGCTCCTCTGGTCGGTCGGTCGGTCGGTCAGAATGTCTCATAACCTGTATACGATGTACTGTTATTATTATACAGGATGATACCGTTCAAAATGAAACTTTATGTAGTAGAATGATGGTGGGGGGGTGGGGAGTCGAAGGAACCGACTGTTTTTTTTTTGTTTGACAACAGGCTGAATACGAAATAAACATAGCTTTCTGAAAAATGTATTTTTTAATGATATACAGATACAAGTTTAGATAACAGAGTTTTTAGTTGATGTAACAAATCCTCGCTGGGGCATGGTACTCCAAATAGAGTCCAATGAAATGGTCCGGTCGCAACAACTTTTCTTGTAAATTCATTAAATTTATAGTAAGTTGCGTGACGGAAAAAGTAAATATGGCCATCAATCCATCGAAATGCGAGAGAAATATCTTCAGGTAATTCAGGAAATATGTCTCTTATCCGTCCTCTGTTCAACACATCAGTAAAATCGTTAGAAAATTCTATATATGACATATTATTATAAAAGGTATAGGACCGTCCTGCGTTTGATTGAAAAATAGCATTGATTCGAGCCCTATCGGGTATATCAATTGAAAAATTATCAAGAAATTTAATGGTAGGGAATGATGCTGAGAAATATTTGTTTGGAGACACAATGGTAATCAAGTCACCGTTTGTTGATTGGAAAATATGTTGTAAAGTGTATTGACGTAATTCTGTAGGAACATAATCGACAAGAAGTTCAGGCTGAGATGGGATAATCATTTCGTTTAAGTCTAGTTTCCATATAAACATATCATGTGCAATATATAATCGGTAATTTGAAAACTCTGGAGCAATAGCTAAAAACATAAAATCTGGAATAATATCACACAAATTTTTGAGGATCGGCTGCTTACGAGTTGTAGATCTTATAGTTGTTGTTGTTTTTGGTATTGCTGATGCGGTGGTAGACGTTGGGATTGAATCATATTTGTTTTTTCTTCCATATAGATATTGTACTGCATTTATATCATCAACATCTAGACCACGAATCTCATGCTGATAGAAGGCAAACATAATAGCATTCGGAGAAGCACTATGTGCTATGCCGAGGGCATGTCCAATTTCATGAACCAACACCATAAGAAAACTAGTTTGATTTTTGGGTATATTAGGATTATTTCCAAAATACCAGCGTTCATTTATATCTAAATGGATTTCTCTACAGGTGCCGCTAGAGTCAGGAAAGTATGCATGTCCTAAAACGCCGCCAGCATCATCTAATGTCAATGGACATTCATCATTACCCATACAGTTTGCGCTAAAATAATGAGTCTTGCTAACCATGGTTATAGTAATATCAGGAGGATATAGAGTGGGATTGGTAACCATTGTAAATGTTAAGTTTGAAACATTTTGCCACATCTGAAAAGCCATTTCTGCATCTTTTTGGGCCGCAGGTGTGTTTCGAGGGAAATACCATTTCAGGTCATGTTTCCGAAATGGAAAACTTGCTCTAAATTCAGCATCACTGTATTGACAACGCGGACGATTCATAAATTCAATTGTTGCATTATTCAACAATCCATCCACTGGTAAATTATACTTTTCTTGCAAGTTAGTTAGCAAAGTAGAGAGATCTGTTGTATTATCGATGATATGTTCATATTGAGTTAGGTATACTATAGCGTCTTTTTCGGAGAAATCGTTGCAAAGCACGTATGTGAAAGTTGAAATAAAAAATAATACGTCTACCCACATCAACATCTTGATAGAGAATGATGTCAAAAATCTCAGATAGCAAATATAAATTCGTTTACCCCCCCAATCAAAATCTTGACTGAAAAAAAATTAGGCAGCAAATATACAATAATCATACACGAATTTCTATATTTCTAAAATTCTACTCTCATGTGCAACTTGTAATTGGAATTTCCGCCGGACAAACGATACATTCATGTATTACTAAGAAATTATATAAAAAATACTGCAACCGCAATGAATGTTGTTTTCTCGATAAAAATGGTACTGAGAATATGATGCATATAATATGCATATTTACGATACAATTATCTCATGCACGCGTGTGTCATCTCTACTACGTACTTATACTGAGCGAGCGCATGCAATAGTCATCATTGTTTCACACTTAACGCACAACGCTGCAAGCTGCAACAACGACCGCAGTACAATTAGTGCTTCGAGAGAGACGAGAGAGCGAAAATTTTAAAAAAAGTAAGTGCTATTTTATTTAATATTTTTCTTTTTTATGTCTCTAAATGCAACTGTTTTTTTTTTTCGTGCTATGCTTCAAAATAGTTAGACGACTCAATTTTTTTTATAGATGGATTTATCAAAAATTAATGCTGCGTCTTCGATTGTAGACCGCAAACCTATCAGAAAATTAAAGGACCTACCAGTTGGGACACCATTTGCAATCCAAGCAGCTAAAGTGGTCAAGTCGAAATTTGGGGAAGCCGTGCTACTAGATTTAGGACCGGAAGTGCTATTTCTACCACAGCGGGTGACGGAAACGTACCAGCCGGTCATCGACGAACTTTTTCACGGAAAATACTCGATCATCTTCCAAGGGGAAGTGGACGTAGGGAAAAGCCGACCGCTAGCATCATTCAAAATAGTGGAAAATTAACAAAGCAGAGAACAGGAGGAGGACAGGGTGAGCATTTTTATATATTTTTGAGTAATGTGTTTGCTTGAAAAAAAAAATGTCGTCTTTTCAAATGTCTTCAAATAAGGTTAAAAAGATCATCAAACAAACAGACGGTGTTCTACTATCAATTGTTAGTCTACGGAAAATTTTATTTGATAATTTTACAATGAGAGACGCGGAAGTGTGGCTGAAACGAATAGAAAAACAAATTAGATTATGTAAACGGGTAATTCGTAGTAGAAGGCAAAATAAATTATCTGTAGGGACCTGTAGAAAAGTAGAAACAAATTTGGGGCATTTTAAACATTTTAGAAAGTTGATTTTAACTAGACATATTGGGGCAGGACTTCACTTAACATTGGGTCAGAGGGTTAGATGGGAAAATGTAGAATCGAGCTTTCAAAGTAGAATAAAAACCGGTTCCATAGCTAATTTGCGTCATAAGGACTTGAATCAATTTTTAGCAGATTGTGTAGTTGTTTTTAAAAGGAAAATTAGGAATATTTTGAACACCCATTGTGCGCTCAAAGTAAATACAACATTTTGCGGGGAGTTTATTAGGAAATCGGGGGATAATGAAATTTTGGGAATTAAATATATTAATACTAAAAATCATATTATTGATACATCAACTCAAATAGACGAGTGGTTTAAGATATATGTTAAAGATAAACTTTTAAACGAATTATCGGAATTTGCTGAAAAAGATTCGGGATTTGCGTTAAATAAAATTATTTCCTTAGTTGTTAATATCAGTAAATATCAATTGGGAAACGGTTCATCTTATATTAGACTACCAGAACCGATTATAAAGAAAAATGCTTGTATAAACATTAAAAATATAGATCAAAATTGCTTTTACTGGGCCATTGTAAGCGCTCTTCGGACTCCTAGCAAAAAAAGACATGCAGAACTAACCTCCTCATATCCACACTTTACTGACGTTTTACAAACAGAAAATTTTGATAGTCCTATGCTGCTAACAAAAATTTCAAAATTTGAAAAGATGAATAACATTTCAGTCAATGTTTACGCTTTAGAATTGATCGAAACAGAAAAAAAATCATTTTACATAGTAGTACCAGCAAGATTAACGGAAAATAAACGGGATACGCATGTTAATTTACTTTTAGCTCAAAATAAATATTATCCGCGTTTAAATGATTATGATGCTCCTCCACCAGCGCCAGCAAATGAAGATAATGATTCAATCGATGAAATTAAATATCACTATTGTTGGATTAAAAATCTTTCGCGTCTTATTAGTAGTCAGTTAAATAAACATCGTGAGAAAAAATTTATTTGCGATAGATGTCTGAACTATTTCCATCAGCAAAATAAATTAGTTGAACATGAAAAACTGTGTTCTAAATTTAATAAATATAAAATTAACCTTCCTAAAGAGAGCTGCGTTGAATTTAAAAACTTTACATACCAACAAAATACTCCTTTTGTTGTTTATGCAGATTTTGAATGTCAATTAGAAAATCATAAAGAAAGTAGCGTCGTAAATTTAACTAAAACCATAAAATATCAAAAACACGTTCCGTATAGTGCTGGTTTCTATGTAAAATGCAGCTATGATGATAGCCTTTCTTATTTCGAGAGCTTTCGAGGTGCAGATTGTATGGATTGGTTTGCAAATCGTATGGCTGGTGTTGCGCAATTTGTAAACTCAAAAATAAAAACAAGCGTACCTATGATTGAAAAATTAGACACATGTAAGGCAACATCATGTCATATTTGCGGTAAGAGATTTTCAAAAACAAAAAAAGACATAATCGTTAGAGATCACAACCATTTCAGTGGAGAGTTCAGAGGTTACGCACACCAAGCATGCAATCTGAACTTTAGAAAATTGTTTGTTGTGCCGGTTATATTCCATAATTTAAGTGGGTACGATAGTCACTTTATGATTTCGAATTTATGTAAAAAAGGTCGCTTAAGTCTACTTCCCATCAACAAAGATAAATACATCTCCTTTACGCTGCACTCAGATGAAAATAACATTAAATTGCGGTTTATAGACTCTTTTCGATTTATGGGGGCGTCTCTTGATGAATTAGCTTCAATTTTAGCAGTATCAGAAAAGAAAATTTTACAAAGGGAATTTCAAAATTTAGATGAAGATAAATTCAAATTATTAACACAGAAAGGAGTTTTCTGTTACGATTACATTGATTCGTTGAAAAAATTAAATGAAACGACTTTGCCCCCAATTGAAAAATTTTACAATAAATTAAACGATGAAAGTGTAAGTGACGAGAAGTATGCTCATGCGCAATCTGTTTGGCAACAGTTTAACATTAAAACATTAGGAGAGTATTCTGATATATATTTAAAAACAGATATTCTGCTTCTTGCCGACGTTTTTGAGCAATTGCGTAAAAAATGTTTCTCCACCTATGGTCTGGATCCTGCGTGGTACTATACAATGCCCGGATATACGTGGGACTGTATGCTCAAATACACTGGGTGTAAGTTAGAACTACTAAAGGATCTAGATATGGTGATGTTTTACGAAAATGCTATAAGAGGTGGAATTTCGGTGTGTAGCAACCGATTTTCGGATGCCAACAATAAATATATGCCCGAATATGATCCTGAAAAGCCGTCCAAGTACCTTATGTACCTGGATGTGAATAGCTTATATGGGAATGCTATGCAGCAACCCTTACCCTACGGAGGGTTCAAATGGGTAGATGATGTAACATCGTTTGATGTGATGTCAATACCCGACGACTCTGACGTAGGGTACGTGCTACAAGTCGATCTATCGTACCCACAAGAACTGCACGATAAACACAAAGATTTTCCGTTTGCGGCAGAACGTAGCGTACCACCCAGCGACGGCGGGGTAAAATTGCCGAAATTAATGGCAACACTTACGGATAAAAAAGAGTACACGGTTCACTATAAAAATTTAAAACAAATGCTAGCTAATGGGTTAAAGTTAACGAAAATCCATAAAATTTTACAATTTAAACAAGCAGCCTGGCTGAAACCCTACATCGAGTTGAATACTCGATGTAGAGCTGCAGCCCGGAATGATTTCGAAAAAAATCTTTTTAAATTAATGAATAATGCAGTATTCGGTAAGACCATGGAAAATATACGTAAGCACCGCGTATGTAAAATCGTTAAATCTTGGGGTGGTCGCTATGGGGCAGCAAACTTGATTTCGAGTTTTCGGTTCCACAGTCGCACAATTTTAGAGGAAAATCTGGTGGTTATCGAATTGAACAAGGCTGAAATAACGTTTAACAAACCTCTGTATGTAGGGCAGGCAATTCTAGACCTATCGAAACTAGTCATGTACGATTTTCATTACACCTATATGCTACCAAAAATGGGTGCAGAAAGGTGTAAGCTCATGTACATGGACACAGACAGTTTTATCTACGAATTGCAATGTGAGGATGCATATGAGGAGATCATTAAAGCTGATTCCAGTAAATTTGATACTTCGGATTATCCTGAAAATAACATATATAAAATACTGCGTAAGAACAAAAAGGTGCCGGGTCTAATGAAAGATGAAAATAACGGTAAAATTATGACACATTTTGTTGGACTTCGAAGCAAAATGTATAGTTACAAGGTGCAGGGTGGGAAGGTGGTTAAAAAATCTAAAGGGGTTAAGTACAATG